CGGGGACGCCAGCGGAAAGGAGCCAGAAGCGGGCAGAGCCAGCAGAGCAGCGAAGGAGAAGCAGAGACCACGAGACAGCGCCAGAGTCCAGAAAGAGTGAAGATTCGCCAGGGGGGCGGGAGGGAGGGGGCTGCCGGCCCCCCAGCCCCCTGCCTGCCATGGGCCTGGTAAAAGCTCAATAAAAGCCTGAAAAAGCCATGAAGGGCTCCAGGACTCTCCTTTCCCCGTCTGCTCGGATCACAGAGCTCCTGCTCTGGGCCTTGCTGACACGACAATTTCTAAATCTCACAATCATAAGAGGACAGCAGCTGCCCAGCCGCTGACTACCCACCAAGTCACCTCGCAGCTGGGATCTAAACACTAGCTGTTCCATAAAAAATGCTTTTGGTCTTTGCTGCTGGCTGCTGGCACAGAGCTCCTAAGGTCCCTGGAACTTCCTGGGTGATGGGTGTCTCTTGCTCATAAACAAACAAAAGAAATCTTTAAAAGAGTAATAATAATAAAATATCTTTGCCCAACCTCTAGTTCCCAGACCAAGGTGACCAGAGGTCAACGGAGAAGAACCTAGCTGACCCTGGGGAGGGGGGTCCACACAGCAGCACAGGTTCTAGTGATTAGGGCGCGGCATACTGGGGGGAGGGGCCTCTTTCTACCCAGCACCCCACTCCCCACAGTCCACATTGCCGTGGCGGTGACAATGCTGACGTCCGCTGTGCACCGCTGGGGCTACGAGTGGTGTAGGTCCTAGAACAGACGCCTGGCGTCTCAGTCACTGCGTCTCTGCCTCGTGCTGCCATCTTGGTATTTTCCTTGACCTCTCTGTGCCTTTTCTCTGATTTTCTCATGTGAGAGTTGGGTACTGTAAGGGCACCTAACATACATGTGTAAGATGCTGGCGTGCCGGGCACAGGTGGTGCACCTGCTGTACCCCAGTGCAGTCCACATACCAAGATCAGCCTTGGAATGGGGGCCCTGGAAGGGGTGCTGTGGGGGCAGGGGACGGGGGGGGGGTGCTCACCTGGCGGGTGACGAATTCAAGGCGAATACACAGGAGCAGCGCCCCGCCTGGGCCAGTCACCTTTCACTAGCCAGGAGGAAACCCGCACGACGCCTTTTGCTCTGCTAAAAAGGGGGCAGCTTTGGATGCAGAACCAACCAGTGCCCTCAATGCAGGGCAAACACCACTGAGCTCCGGCCCTGGCCCAGGCGCCTGCAGGAAAATGCCAGGCCCTCGCCGGCACAGCCCGACAGCACCATCAGCTCCAGACAGAAAGCCCCGCCAGGCTCCAGCAGTATTTGAGTGGCCATAACACACACAAGCAGCAGAGGGAAACCCCCGCTTTCCCGTCACTTCGCACTCAACGTGTCGACAAGCTGTCACGAACTCTGCTTTCGGTTCACATGACAGTTACCCCAAAGATCCCCTCTGAAATGCGAAGGAGAGAATGAAACTGATCACATAAACGTCAGACTTGGAACATAAACAAAGAAGACTGAGGAACGTGGAATCTCTGACAACAGTTGAAGGAAGAAAAGAAAAAAGGAGGGACTATGAATTGAATCGGAGGCCGAGAGAGACAGGCCCACGTGAGCAGCCTGGACTAGCTGTCTTTAAAACTGCAGCCACCTTTTCCTGCAAGTTCTTCATCTCAGTTTATGCGGAATTAGGACAAAACTACTTGTGATAAAAACCCTAAACCTTCCAGATTTCGTAGCAGCTCAGAAAACCAGCAGCCACGACAGATGCACCAGGAAGTGTCTGCAGCACCGTGTTGGGAATGGACGGAGAGAAATCACTCCAGAGAATAAGAAAAGCCAGAGACTGAGCTAAATATTGGTAAAATAAGCCCACGACAGAGTGCTGTTATCCAAAATACACACACAAAAAACAAAGATCCTAACAGACATCTCAGCCAAAATGTAGAGGTGGCTTAAAATAAGCACAAGATGTTCTGCATCACGTCATCGCTCCATGCAAATCAAAACCACGGAACACGCTACGCGTCCATCAGGACGGCCGAGCCCCGAAAGCAGAGCCACCCCAGCGGGTCAGGTTGGGGAGCATCAGGAGTCCCGTCCGTTGCTTGGCAGATGCTAAGCAGTGACTTTGGAAGGCAGTTTGGCAGTTTCTTCTGAAACTAAACGTTCTTACCAGATGACGCAGCAACCACACGCCTTGGGGTTTACCCAGAGGAGAAACCCGCACAGATGTTTACAGCAGCTGTATTCGTAACTGCCAAAAACCCGGAGGTAACCAAGGCTTCCTTTGGTAGGTGAGCAAACTGGGGCATCGCGCGAAGGAACAGTGATCAATACTAAGGAGAAACGAGCTTCTAAGCCATGAAAAGACACGGAGGATCTTAAGTGAATACTGGTAAGTGGGAGACGTCAGTCGGAAGGACCAATACACTGTATGATTCCAACCGTATGACATTCTAGAAAAGGCAAAAAAGGCATGGGGACAATAAAGACATCAGTGGCTGCAGGAGCTGGCAGGGAGGGAGGAGGGGCAGGCAGAGCAGAGAGGATTTTTAGGCAGTGAAATCACTCTGTGTGGCTCTATAAAGGGGCCACATGTCACTACATACTTGTCCAAACCTCTCGAATGCACAACACTGAGAACGTGCACTATTGTGGCCTGCAGGGGACAATGATGTGCTAACGTAGGCTCATCCCGGTGACAACTCTGGTGGTGGGGGGGGGGGCTGATAACAGGGAAGGGCGGCAGCAGCTACATGGGAACTCTGGACTTTCCATTTTTCTTTTTCTTTTTTTTAAGATTTATTTATGCGTAGAAGAGCTGGGGTACAGGCCAGAGGTGTGGGGGGTGAGAGGATTCACCAGAGACAGAGAGGGGAGCAGAACAGGCAGGTTGACTGAAGTACACTGCTGAGGGGAGCAGCAGGAAGACAGGAGGGGTCTGCTGCGCCAGGTGGGTAGCTCCCTGGCCAGGGATGGAACGCGTGCTGCAGTGGCTGGCGATAGCTTCACAGTGCTGAGACTTAACCCCTGCACCACCAGGGAGGCCCTGGACTTTCCATTTTACTATGAACCCAAAACTGCTCTAAGAAATAAAGTCTGTTTTTAAAAAACTAAAAAGATAGTTGGTTCTTTTAACATTCAACAAAAGGGCTCGAAAGAACCAACCAAAAAAATCAAGCAAGAGTATGTCCATGGAACATGCCTCATGTCTCTTCAAGAACATGGAGCTTACTCTGAAGAGCTACGAGTAGTAAAGCAGAGTCGTCTGGCTGTATTTCACTTGCCGGAAACCAAAAGAACCCGAGCAAACAAGTTCCAAGTGGTAGAGATTTTAACGAGACATTAGTGTTTCAAATCTGATGCCCTCACAGTCAAAGCCGTGAGCCACATTCAGGATCGTTCGCTGCTGGACATACAACGATGACCCAGAGGCGGACCGTACCCCGCTCTATGGCCGGGAGACCATCCGATTTCTTTCCATGTTCTTGGAAAACCAAAACAACAGAAGTGAACACTTAGCCACATTGCAAAGAATATTTTCTACGACATAAGAAATCTCTCAATTTGAGAAAATAAGGACACACACGCTCTATTTAAGTGATTTAATTCATGATCTGACCTACTCTAAGAACAGCAGTGAGTTTCCAGAAGCACGCAAATCCCTGCTCTCCGGGCCTTTGACACTGGTCCACAGAAACCAGAAACGGGTTTGGGGATATCGTCATCCTTAGGGTCAATTGTAGGTTTCACTCCTAAAAAGCCCTCAAGGGAAGTCTCAGAAGGGTGAAGACGGAGATTCCCGCCTAGTGAAGTCCAGAGCTCTCGAGAACAGAGGCCCACCCTGAGGACTGTGCCCCTAAAGAAATGCTGACAATGAACTCAGAGCCCACTTCAAAGCCTTCCCCCGTGCTGGACTTTCTGACCCCCGAAGTCTGTGAGGTGGTCCCGAAGCGCCGGCCTCATGCTGCTCATGCCCTTGAATGGGCCGGGACAGTGACTTCGTCCAACAGAGGCCACTTGAGGATGAAGTCACGACGATACTTGTGTCTCGCCGACACGTTGTCGGTGCCCAAGGACAGCTCTGTGACCCTCGACCCACAGCCTGCAAAGAACTGCCTCCCACCAACAGGGCGTGGGTGGGCAGCCGAGTGGGTCCTCCCCCGCCGAGCCCAGCCAACAGCCTCAGAACAGACCCTGAAACGAGGACCCCAGGGGCCCTGTGCCCAGATTCCTCACCCACACAGTGTTGCCCTGAGCGGCTAAGATTTGGGGCAGTTTAGTATATGGTGATAGAACATCCCAGGGGAGCAGTAAAGCGCTTCGTACCAGGCCTGACGCACTGAGCGGTGACTTACACAGGCCGACACAGCCGCGCTTACGTCACCTTGAATGGACCGAACCGCAGAGCGCCGGGTGCTCTTCTCCACACGCCGGGGCTCCTCCAGGTGTCAGCGGGGGATGGGCAGGGCGTCCCCCATGCTCCCCACCAAACCTGAAGAGCACCGTTGTTTTCCTTCAGCGGACTATGAAATTTCTAAATTTCTAGGAGGTTTTAAAAAACAAGGGAAAAACAGGTATTTTTACCTCCTTGCTAAATTTGCTTTGCCATGAAACTTCTCCTGTGAGAACTAGGTTTACGAGCAAGTGCTCCCATTTCTGCGAAGTGTCCAGAACAGGCAGCGACGGGTGGGGGATGGGGCCCACCAGGCTCGGGGTTTCTTTTGGGGGGATGAAGTATCCTGGAACTAGGTGATGGTGACAGCTGGACAGGCTTGCGAACATACTCAAAACCCACCAACTCACGCACTGTACGGTGGTGAATTTTATGGTCTCTGAATTATGTCAATTTAAAAAAATTCTACGCAAGTTCTTGTAGAAGAGAGTTGGGTTTCCACTCACCCTCTGCCCACACCGCCTAGGTCCTTGCCGGGGGGTGCAGGGATGGGCCTGTGGCGTGGCCCCCAGAGAGCAGGCCCTGCAACTGTTACTATTTTTGTACTGCAAATTGCAGGGAAATTCCTAGCAAAAGCTCCCCCAGTAAACGTGTCTGTTTTTTTCTATGTGTTTTTGCTCCTTTACAAATGTTCAACTTCAGTTTTGAAGACATAAGACATTTGTACCTCGTTTTATAATACTTAGTCACTCCTTGCTATGAACCGGAAGGTGAGAGACATCAGCATTTGAAGAAGGGGGCCCACCTTTCCAAAGAGACGAGTCTACTTCAGCACTTCATGATTTATTGAATGTCACTCCCAGACACATCTGCGGAGCGGCCTGCGCTCCCGTCATCACAAGGAGCACGCGCCCCGCACCCAGCCACACCCTTCACAGGACACACAGCCCAGCGCGCGGCATCCAGGCGGAATCTTTCACCGAGAACAGGAGCGAGAAGAAACCGTTCACACCCCACAACACGATCATATGGAACTTGAGACAGATGAATTCAAACAATTCAAAGTTGTTCAAAGCATCTTCGGACAATAACCGACAGGACAAGGTTCCCTTATTCGATTTGACTTTAAGTAGAAACGCTCTGTCAACGTGGCTACAACGCGCAGACAGGGCAGCCTGAGGTCTCAGGTGCCCCACACCAAAGTGCATCCTCGAGTCAGGAGACGAAGGGCGGCTTCCTCACGCGGCCCGCGCTCAGCCGCTGTCTGCAGCGCCCGCCACCCGGCACCACCGCGTCTGTCAGATACTCCGGTAGTCAGAGCCCCGGGCCACGATGGCAGCGGCTTCCCACTCCACAGTGAAGAAGGAAATGGTTCCCAAAAATCCGAGTATCACCATGACCAGGAGCTGCCAGTGAAGGAGCAGGTAGTTGCTGTAGAAGAAGGCCGTGGCCGCACAAATGGACTGAGGACAGACAACACAGCATGTCAGGGGCGTGCCCGGTGGCTGTCGGCCCCACCCCCGACCCCCATGGGCCGACAGGCGCTCTGCTCCTCTGCTCCTGATGGGCTGCACCAACCCGGGACCTGGCACTGACCAAGCAAGCTTCCATCTGCTGCTTAAAATAGCACTTCGGGGGGCCTCCTTGGTGGCCTAGGGGTGAAGTCTCAGCACTATCACCACTGCGGCCTGAGTTCGATCCCTGGCCAGGGAGCTGACCACACAGCGCAGAGACCTCTCCTGTCTCCCCGCTGTTTCCCTCAGCTATGTTTCAGTTGATCTGCCTGTTCTGCTCCCCACTCTGTCTCTGGTGAGTCCTCTCAGCCACTGCACCTCTGGCCTATACCCCAGTTCTTCCATGTATAAATAAATAAATCTTTAAAAAAATACATAGTACTTTGCAAACACCTGGAGTAATGATGGGCATTCACAATGAGAAATGCCCTTGTCTATATATACTGCAAGGGGTTCCGGTGTCCAGGGAAGGATGCCTCTGACTGAGCCCAGAATGGGTTTCCTAGATGTGGGAGGGGCAAAAACCACACAGGGCTGCCGAATTCCCGTCACAAGTCCTTATAAAGGCTGCCCCTGACTTGCATTTAAAAACCAAATAAATACAGGCAAAGCACAAACAAGAAGAGCTGCCCATAAACACACGTGAGCAGGAGGTTACCTGAACGAACTTAAAGACGGCAAAGGCCGGGGCGCTGTCCTCAGAGTAGAGAAAACCTAGAATACTGAGCAGCTGGGTGTTGAAGCAGCTATCGCCAAGGCCCAGCAGGAAGCTGCAGAAGATGGCCACTTCTTTGCTGGAGAAAATAAAGTCAATTAAGAATGGATATTAACAATAGTTGCTAGATCCATTTAAAATGTAAAAGCAACTCACTCAGAAAAGCATTTTACTTTCAAGTTTTAAACACTAAGGAACAAGACAAAGTAAATACCAGAACTGACAAAGAACTTAACTCAGGCACACCTGTGCAGCCCAGCAAGCCCTGCCCCACCTGCGCTGCGTCTGGGGCAGTGGGCGGGCCGCGGGCCTAGACTGAGCAAGCTTGGCTATGTGAGCCCGAGGGGGGCGCGCAGTGAGACAGTTCCTCAGAACACAACACAAGTGCTCTGGAGGCACTCAGTGGCCTACCCGGCTGGCAGGTTACCCCTGGCTCCTCACTGTTCCTCCTCTGGCCCTACCCTCTGGACATGTCACTGCTCAAAAAACAGAGACATAAAATTCACGTCAGATAACACATAGGCTTTTCACCATAGATCAAGGAAAAGGCTTCATGGGGAGAGTGTAACACTGACACTCACAAAGACAACTTGGGATTCTCTCTGGATTCCTATTTAAGTGCCAGAAGCCCAGGACAGGGAGCTTATAAAGGCAACATGCTCTCAGGAAAGGAGTAACTGTTCCACCTCACGCCTCCAACCATTGGTTACCGCCCATCCTTTCTTACACGACGAGAAAACCAGCAGCCACTCTACCTGGATTTGATGTAAGCGTTGCTGTCCGTGCCTTCAGCAGGGGCGACAGGGGCATCCCCGGGCATATTGAGAAATATTAAATAAAAAGCCACAAAATGCACCAGGATGCCCAAGAGCACAACTGGATTTCTACCAAAACGGTTGTTCTTGCTCAGCAGGCCGAAGAGGCTTCCACCTGTAAAAGCGAGGTGGCAGAATCACCCACAGCATTGAAACATTTAGGACATCACCGGTCCTGAGTGTCAATCAAGGAGGCAAAGAACCACTGGTCTCAGATGCTGACCATCTTCAGGGCCCCCCCCCCACCTCAGCTCCTGCCAACACATGCTGACTAGACACCAGCTTTCGGGACAGAAGCCTCAACGTTACCCATGTCCCTGCCTCGTACATTTCCGCACCCCTTCTCTATGAGTGACCCCCCACCCTATGCTCGTTGCCCTCCAGTTTGTAAGAGAGTGAAACTGAAAGGACACACCCCATCGCCTGCCCTGCGGTCCCACTGCAGTCATGGCTGACGAGGCTGACAAATCGCACCCATAGCAAAGCACGACCTACTGACACGGAGGCCCAGGAGGAGACCCACAGAGAAAGGAGAGACCAGCAGCAGCCTGGGGTATGGGGAAGAAATCTCCCAAAGCGAGCCTGTGGTGACAGCTGCTCCATCCTGGGAAAAGGCCCAAACCACTGACCCGCACCCCAGAAACCATGACCCGTGAAGCCCAAGTGACGGCTCAGCGAGGTTTTGAGAATCACCCTGGGACCAGCCGGTGTTAGGAGCAGAAAAGACACTAACAGACTCACTGCAGCTTATTCCACCTGGATCCAGGGACATGTGACATGCGGACATGCAGGCCCATGCACAGACGTGCCAGGTGTTAGCAACAAGGCAGGGGATGGAGGACACGGGTCGGCATCCCCGCGGTGCTCTCGGCTGGCTGCGTTTCCCCCAGGAGAATCTAAGCTCGACAGAGACAGCGATGGCTGTCTGTTTTGTTCACAGGGTGAAGTGACTGCACTAGAGCTGGAGAAGCCACCGCAGGAAAAGCCACGTTGCTGTCCTCCTTAAACTGGATCTGCCCCTTGGGCTGGGAGAGACCACCCACATCCCAAGAAGCCAACAAGAGTGAGAACCATATGATCTCCGCTGTACGGTTCTGTCTGTGAACTATCTGGCAAGTATTTTAAAATGTAGTTGTCTTAGAATAGTGGTAACACACACACACAAAAAAAGACAGACCCATTTAGGTAAAAATTTGAGCAGGGAAACTACAAATTCAAAAAAAAAAAAGAGGTGAAATACACTTAACATTTCTAATATACTCTAAAGACACAACCTAATGCCAAAAAAACTTTTTAAACCTGTTGGGAGAGACCCGGCGCAGTGAGCAGAAGGGCCTTGACCTGAGTCCCTAAGACATGTGAAAACACATGTGTCTCGGAGCAAAACCTCTGGGTGACAGGACTTGGTGTTGAGTGCCCGGAAAGTGACCTGCCTCTACATCCCCACAGTCTGAGAATAACAAAAATAATGAGCGGACTTCCCAGGCTCTGGCTAGGGGGCGATAAGATTATGCGCGTGAGAACTAACCACCTGGTACCCTACTGTCTGAAGTAAATAGATAATAGTAAGAAAGTAGACAAATCATTCCTATGTTATCATTATATGGTATGCTTTGATGTCACACCTGCTGCAATTAAAATAGTATATAATGAGCACTAAGACAATAAAGATTTGCTGCATGCTGGACATGACAGTCCCCTATGTCCGATTTCCCTCACCGTCGCGTCCCAGGTCCAGGACTCACTAGAAGTCCACATAAACCCACCTAAAATTTCTCCGATGCCGATGAAAATGCCAGAAAGCCCAATGAGGCTTTTCTCTTCAATTCCAAATTTATTTACAGCACCGATGCAGGTTCCATACACCCCAGAGAAGAAAGTCAACTCCAGACCTTGAGGGAAAATTAATTAAACACGTCACATTCTCCCTTTCCCAGCTTTCCGTCACGAGTACTCATGCTGGAGCCACATACGTACAGAACATGTATGCAGCAAAGAAAACAAGCTGTTCAGGCTGAGCTGTCCGCCCCCGGAAGGGCACTTCATGCTGCGTGACTGATACACTGGCCAGAGCCTTAGGCACCACATATTTTAGATAAGAACAAACAAGTCCAAAGAGCAAAGGTCTCTCCTGTTAGAAGGGGCCACTCTGAACCCAGGGGACAGGAGTATGCGCATAAACTCGTGATAGTGAGCCCCCAGAGCGCGTGACCCCCGGAGCAGCTTCTCCGAGAACAGCGGCAGATGCTTGGGAACCCCCGCCCCCAACACACACACATACACTCTTTTGCTTACAGGCATAAGAATGTCTTAATTAAACCCTTTTTTCTGTGGAAAAGAAATTCTAAAGCTTAGGGTAGAAAATAAGGGCAAATTAGCTGATTCCTAATGAAACAAAAGCTTAACTGGATTTTAAAGATGTTTCGTATTTATTCTATTTCTCCTAAAAAGGCTTTTATACCTGTAAGGCGCATAAAGGCAAGAGTCACCACCAGCTCTGACAACATTCTTTAAAAGAAAGTGGATCCCCCCCCCCCATCTTCCTAAGACCCCGGAGAGCGCCACCTGTCGTCCCATCTGAAATCTTTGCTCTTCCTCGGGAACCCACAGTCCAACCGAGGCCTCCTGTTATCTTCTGTGGTGCTCCGTGTCACCCGGAATCATCGGCAGGAGGAGTCAAGCCCCCCCTTTCATGCCCTTGTGTGGAATTCTTCCACAATGACTTGGGCTGTGGTTTGCTTTTACCAAAGGAAGGTAGGGGAAGTGATGTCAGGCCTGAGCTGGTCATGAATTTTTTTCCTGGTCTCTCCTGGCCCTTCTGGAAACTTGGACACTAACTAAAAAGCCTGACCGTCTTGCTGGGTCAGGAAGCACCCATGTAGCAGGAGCCGAGACTGCGTGTGAGAGACACTCAGCCTGGCACCGTCCCCACCACCTCAAAGTAGCAAACACGCAACCAGCTTCGAAATTCCAGCCCCAGCCACGCTCTAACAGGGGCCACAGAGACCCCAACAGAGACCAGCAGAACTGTTTAGCTTAGCCCAGGATTGTGAGAGTAAGAACTGCTGTTGTCTCCAGACCTCACTGCCAGCACACAGCAACAGAAAACCCACACAGCCGTCGAGTCCTTCGTTACCTGTGTACGCAGTTGTGACACTAAGAAGCAGCATCTCCTTGGTGACACATAGCTTAAGAGACTTTTCTGTAAAAAAGCAAACAAGTTGGCAGTATCAGCATTTAACTTGAATTTAATTAATCAAACAAAAATCCTAAAACCTTACTTCCACCAAACCCCCACTCTGTCAAAGCCAGTAAACACACATTGGCCAGAGGTTAACACTTCAGCTAGAATGTGAAGGTGAGAGCTAAATCTGCTCTGTAAGATGCTTATTCAACAGCTCTAGTAACAGCCTGGAGGCAGGCGTTGCCCAACACCTTCTCCAGCACTTACAAAAAATGTGAAATGGACTAAGCAAAACAGATTATTTCAACAGATTTCATTATAGGTCAGGTTTTGCAGGGACCCAGAGCACTAACTGCCCTAAGATGTGGAGCAGCTTTAAGAGTAGACTTAAGCTGAGAGTCAGCAGGAAGCTGGGACACCACTTCCTGAGCCCCTCGCCCTCTGCACCTGAGGACCGAAGCGTCCTGTGCACTGGCTGGCGATCACCTGAAAGTTCGCTTTTCACACAGTTCGATTTAGACGTGCGATGGCAATATTTCTAAAAACCCCACATTTTAACTGTCTGAGCCCACTCACATCTTGTAAGGTAAGGACCGTTATCTAGCAGACTAAACGACAGAGGGTCCAGACGTTAGTTCTGATTTGACTGCTGTCTGTAAACTTACATTAACATTCTCCCCTAAATCCCTGAGTTTCTCCATATGCAACACGACACTTTTTCCTCTAACTCACTGAAATGCAGCAAGACTAAGTTACCTTCACTGCATGCTTCTGGGAAAAAACATGTGTTCAGTACAAAGTTGAAAACGGCATTTTTAATTTAAAAATTACATTAGCAAAACAAGTTTGTTTTTGAATCCAACTTAGCAAACAAAGACTTTAAATACCATCCAGTACGCTCTGAATACTTGTCACACATCACCCGAACACACAGATGGCACAGCAGTAAGAGGGACCCTAATGGCAACTCTGGACTTTGGGTAATGCAGGGTGTCAATGTAGGCTCATCAGCCACAACAAAAGTTCCACTCTGGTGGGGGGAGCTGGTAACGGGAGAGGCTGGGGGAGGGGGGAAGACAGGGTGCTCGGGAGAAATCTCTGCATCTTCCTCTCAAAGCTTCTGTAAACCTAAAACTGCAACTGCATTTTTAAAAAGAAACACATTGTAATCTACTTGCAGAATCTGGAAAGCTAATCTTAAAATTCACATGGAAACAGGAGGGACCCCCAACAGCCAGAACCATCTTGAAAAAAAACAACGTTGAAGGACTCACGCTTTGCAACTTCGAAATGTACAATAAACAGCATGATACTGGCAAAGGGACAGACAAAGGGATCGAGAAATAAACTCTCAAATTTACAATCGATTGATTTCCAACAGTCACTGGAGGAGAAGAGTCTTCTCAGCTAACGATGCCAAGACAGCCGGGTACCCCATGTGGGGAAGCGGCGGCGAGTCCTGCCACACGACAGACCCCACGAGGAATTCAGAGAGGACGGCAGGCCCAGATGCGAGACCTGGAACCTTAAGCACCTTAGAAGAAAACATAGGCCTAAATCTTCGTGACCTGGGATCAGACAAAGCGTCTTAGAACACCAAAAGTACACACAACTAGAAAAGGAAAAAAAAAACAGGTAAGCCAGAGTTGATCGAAATGTGCTTCACAAGATACGGCCAGTACATGAAAATTGCATGAAAAGACCTGAAGAATGGGAGAAGAAACCAGAGCATACACTTTTGCTAGAATACACAAAGAACTCTCATGACTCACCAACAAGGGATAAATTGTCCAACTTAAAAATGGGCGAGGGGTCCAGAGAAGAGATGCAAATGTTCTGCCGGCCACGAAAACCCGCTCGCCACCACCGGCCACTAGGAAAATGAAAATCAAACCACAAGACCCAGCTCTACACCGGGAGGATGGTTACCGTCCTCTCCGGGACAGAGAAGAATTGGAGACAGCAACCAGCCCCCCGGGGCCGGAACGTAAACGACACAGCCTCTCAGACTTGGGGGTCTCCGTGGAGGTTAAGCACGAGGTGGCACGTGATCCAGCAACCCCACTGCCAAGAGACAAAGACCTATGACAAATGTTCACAGAGCGACTGTTCCTAAGATGTAAAAAGCAGAAACGAAGCGAACTTTCTAGCAGGCTACTGGAATGTGGATGAGTGCCCAAGGTCCTATGCTAAAACAAACCCGCCAGGAAGCACACACGACACATTTCACATGAAATGGCTCATCTAGAGAGACAGGAAGCAGACTAAAGGCTCGCGATCTTTCTGCCAACCTGGTCTTCAGAGAGTAATACCAGAGCACACTTACTTTACCAGCGGGGACACACCAGGATACTGACGATCATTCACCACTTGAAACATGATAGAAAACGTTTAAACTTGCATTTCTGTACTTCAGTTATAGTTTTGTATGTTTACAAAATGGCTGCTGCCTACTGGGCTGTCGGCTTTCCTTACTGGTGCAAGCCCCTGGGAGACTGAAGGTCATCAGGCCCTCCTTTCCTACCTGCGTGTGGCTTTCTAGGACCCTGACAACTAGAAGGGGATGGCCACAGAAGGGGCCACTGAAAAATAAAAACTCGCCACGGCTGACCCCTGCTCTCAGAGTCCGTCTGGCTGCCGTGAGCCGGTGGACGAGTTTCTAGACCTGCAAAGCCAAAAGCCAGACTCTGACTGTGGGGACCTGCCATCGAGACAGAGACAGGTCACACCTTCTTTAATTATAACATGTGGCCCAACCATAATTACAAACATGTCTCTGCAACACAGGACACGCACAGAACAAACGTCTGATAAAACAGTGATAAACCACAGTGCGAGGCTCAGACGGCCACGCCCACAGGCCCATTCCTAAGAGAAGCTACGGGGACGCCAGCCGGAAGTCAGTTCACTTTGTCATTGGCCACACTGTATAGGTCGAGAATTTCCACCCTAGCCCGAGAACCCGCTGGCCAGCATAAGGTGCGGCGGCCTACTAGGGTGTACTGACAGGATGTGGCCCCCAAAAGGCTGTTCCCTACTAGAGAGTACCTGCCTCAGCCAGATCCTCTACCTGGGGAGACAAAGAGCTGAGAGAACTGCAGAAAAAGCAAAAAATGGCCCCCGTCAGGCCTCACTGGACTCGGAAGCTATGGCCGTGAGTTTCTGAAGGAACCCGGCCCAGTCATGGGCTGGCTGTCTCACCCTGGTGCAATAAACTCTCTAAAGCTCAGTCTGCTGTTCTAGAAAATGAAGAAGAAGATAGGTGTATGCCACCTGATACTCAAAGAATAAAACAAGGACAAGACACAAGGAGGGTTCGGCTGCAAGAACTCTCAACAGAGGAGCACAGCCGGACGGTCCCAGGGAGGACAGCAACTCGCAAATGCCCAACTAACTCCATACACCACCCTCACACTCCGTGGGACTTGACTGCCCCTCACGCCCGCCCCCATCCCCTTCCCACACAGCTGTTTCTAGGGAAGACGACAGTGTTTCGGAGAGGCACACGCGGGTGGACCATCAATCCAGCTACCAGGGAAAAGGAAAAAAGCAAACGCTGAAGCTGTTCCTGAACAGTTCTTGCTTTTCAGAGAAAGAAAATACTTACTAAACGCGTCAACTGCCTTTGTCATGTTGTTCTGGGGAGGCCTGATAAAGTGAAAAGAAAAAAAATGAAGATTTTACCCTGAAAAATCGAAATGAGAACCAAAAACCATCCCATCTTCACGCAGGCCTGCAAAAGCCTGTCCTCCGCGGGGCTGGCAAGGGGTTCTGGCGTCCCTCCCCTCGGTGCCCGCCAAGGTTTCCTCCGTTTGAAAATACTGGATGGCGGAGGGGTGCAGGATGTTTTGGGGGAATAACAGAAGTGCCCCATCACTGTGGCGAGCACAGAACTCGGGAAGACACAAAAAGCCGCCGAGTCATACATTGTGAGCGGCCAACTGCACAGCATGAGTGACATCTCGAAAGCTGCTAAAATCCTGTTTTTCTTCTTTCTCTTTTCTTCCTCTTATTATAGAGCAAGCCCAGTGGATGCGTGACCCTCTGTCCCTGCAGCTAAGCACCCGTCAAACGACACCTGGAGTATACCAGACACTCAAGTCTAGAGAGAGAAGGGGAGAGCGGCAGCTGCCACGGAAGCAATCCCGAGGCTCCCCGGCCGTGTGCAGGCGCTCAGAGACGCAGGCCAAGCGAGAGGACACAGGCGGAAGGACAGGATGCCCCTCACCTCCGGTCAGCCTCGAAGGGGATCCTTTCAACAGCTTTCTCGGCACCCACACGGAGAATAAAACCCTAACTCCTGACCCAGCTTATCCAGCTTGATGCTGCCACTGCAGGCCCAATGTCCACCCCCCCCAGCCATCCCCCCCTCCCCCGTGCAGTCCTGCTGTGGCAGCCCCCGCCCCATGGCCTTCGCCTTCACTCACCAGGTCTCAGGGAGCCTCGCCCTACCGTCGCCCTTTCCCTGCCTCTCAGCACTTAACCTGAGATTTCCCGACACGTGTCCTGTCTACCAGACCCTCTGAGCGCCAGGCCCGGGACAACAGGGCCCTGCTGCGTTCACCTCAGGCTGAGGAGGGAACTGGTGCATCAGCAGAGTTACTGTGGGATAGACATGGAAGGCGGCGCGGGGGGAGGCGATGCTAAGACGACTGAGCCCGGCTGTGGCTTTCCTTCCGGACCCTGCAGAGTGCTGGGTGAGGAGCCCGTGATCTGTGGAATTCACCTTCCCAGACTCCCCCAGTATCAGTTTGCCCTTAAAAAAATACGTCAAGTGTACACATGTATGTGCATGCTATCCACATACATGGCTCGTTTGTGTTGTGCGTGTGCACGCGTTATGTACATCTGTACATGCAGACCCCAGAGAACGCCCCTCTCTCTTGCTTTAAGTAAATTTCAGGCCAATTTTGAATGCTTAATGAGCCCATGAGTAGAGAACTTGAGGCCTCTGGGGATCAACAAAGCAGCGTAGGCTGCTCAGTGTAAACGTCTTAGCAAGATGGCGCGCGCCAAGGCCATCTTCACAGTCTCCTAACTCCCGAAGTGAAATGAGCGTGCCACGGAGTTCTCACTGTCCTGTCCACAGATCTAGCCCGGACCCGCAGAGAAGTTGTCGGGGATGGTTCAGGAGCTTTCCCTCCAGCTGGAACTCGCTCAAGGCACTGAAGAAAAAAACAAGCAGCCCACTGCGCCGGCTGAGTGTATGGCGGTGCCCGCCAGGGCCTCGGCAGCCGCCCTTCGAGCGGCCAGAGAAGCCGCAACTGAGGGCAGAGGCTATTGTCTACTTAACGTTATAAGCCTGAGTTCTTACATATTAAAACGCATGGAGGGCAGCTGACCCGAGGGAGGAAACAGGTAAGGAGAAACTCGGGGGGCTACTGCAGCTGGCCAGGGTCACACACACCCCTCAGTGGCACCCGGGGCCCCACTAAACCCCCTTTCAACGCTGTTCACTCCCTCCCCTGCCTCTGTCTACCTTTCTTTTCCTTCGCCCTCCCCCTTGCTTCGCCTTTATCTTTTCCTCTCCTTATGTTTTTCTTATTTTTATTTTTAAAACTCTGCCCTCCTGTTTGCCCAATGCCGGGTATAAGTCAGGACTATACCAAGGTCGGTGACCTCTACACTGGCTCCATTAAAACATATCTGAAAATCAAAAGGAATGTTTCCAACTTCTTACTCGCTGACTTCCATGTCCTGGTCATCAGAAGGGTCCTCTTCCCCCAGGACATTCTCGGAATCTGGTTTTCGAATGAGAAAGAAAAGAACTGTCCCCACAAGGCTGATGACTGTCAGGGCGATAAACACTGTCCTTCGGTCACTGTCTAGGGAGGAAAGAGATGGAAATGAGAGCTCGGACCGTACAAGCAATTCCAGAGTTAACACTATGTTGAAAGAGCATCTGAAACTGTCAAACACTTCCTCATTAAAATTTTCCTTTAACGCAACAGCAAAAACCCAGAAGGAAATGAATAAGACACATCGACCTTTGTCTTTCGGTTAGAAAAATATTTAAAAAGCTGAAAAAGACCAGCAAAGGAACTTAATCACATTCTTTTAATCAAAGAACTATAAAGACAAAACAATGCAGACTTCATTAGTCCGAACTATAAAGACAAGAACTATAAAGACAAAACAATGCAGACTTCAAGTCACTAGCACGCTTGTCCACCGTGCAGCCCTCTCCGGATGCCAGTGGAACGCAAGCACATGCTACAGTCCTAGTTTGAGCATATCACCCAGAGAAAAGGTTACTAAAAGTGAATTCTCAGAGGATTTAAGGTCCCAAGGGTCATAAGAACAATGTGAACAAGGCAGTAATTTTTGTGTAACTGCTACGGTGCCTTGAGCAGATCTGAATAAAGTAAAGCAAGTAAAACAAACCTGATATCTGGGTTTTCCCTTGCCAAGCAAAATAAATGTAGAGATTTCCAAAGAACAAGCTGGGAAGAGAAGGGAGAAGGGGATGTCACAAAACTAAATTCATATTTGTAGGGTTTTTACGAATAATTTTTCATTACTTGTTAGAGAAAATACAGAGAATTTTATGCTCCCGCTGTCCTGGGTCATTTTAAAAGTACCACCTCCACCCTGGCTGTGAAAGACCTAACTGACCCAGATGGAATTCACGTCTCCCCCTACATGACAGTAACCTGATTCAGAACTGCCCTTCAAAGAAGACTTGACTCACTTTGACACACGTGATTTACTGGAGCTCTAGAAATGACTCCTGGGAAACTAAATTACACTATTTCTGAAGTCCAGTATTTAAAAAAAAAACCCTGAGTCGGTTACCTGCGCCTAATAGATACCTTATTTAGCATACTCTCGAGAAGGGATCGCTCACTCACGCTGTGGGTTCTTAAGATACAACCCCTCAAAACTAAACATGTGCATTTGTGAAGCTTCACGGCACCCATATTTTAAATAGCCACAAGGGCGTATCCGCAGGACAAATTCCATTACAGACTAACACTGCTGCTTTTTACTTAAGGAATAAATCATAAGGTGATTTATTCACCTTGTGAATTCAGGGTTGAGATGATTAGTCTCACGTTTGAATTTTACTATATTTGTCGGCAGTCAGGAGGTAGTGAGGCCTGCTGGCAGAAATGTGGCCTTGGGACTCCAAATAAGAATGATTTTAATTGATCACTCAACCTTTAAGTCTCTGTTCTCATCTATGAAACAGAAAGAATGCCTTCTCAGCCCACAAGGCTGTGAGGACCACTCCACTCAACAGTGCCTGCGACAGAAGAAATCTAAATACGCTGTAGCTTGTATCACCTTCTACCAACTAATCCCAAGTTCCAAGGAGGTTGGTAGCATTTCTATAAAGCTCTCAGCCTACATGCTGGGCAGCCAGGTTACAAAATGGCAGATCTGAGTTTTCAACACAGATCTAAAAAAAAATGATTTGACAAAAAACAAACAAACAAACAAAAACCACAACAACAATCACTAAGCACCAAAAGGATCAGTACCTAGACTGTAGGAGGGCCCAGAAAATTCCACTGTTTCTTCCGATCGTGAGCTCATCAGAATTCATCGTCAGGCAGCTCCCTTGTGCTGTCCAAAGCACTACAATCCAAACCAAAGGTTTCTCAAGGGGAGGAAATGACTGAGCTTTACACACCAAACACAAAATGACACTGTCAGATGAGCCCCCAACAAGACAGAAAATAAACATCCAAACACTTACCAGCAGCAGCCATTCCGATGAAAACGGAGGCAGTGTAGAAGGACCACGTGAAAGGCTGGATAAAAACGGCAATGTACATGCTAAAATGTAACAGGGCAACGCGTTACGGTCAAACAATACCTGAAACAGAACGCCACGTACGCCTTCTGGGGATCAATTCTCAGGGCTCGCTTCTTTTAAAATTCAACCTGTAAAGGACTCCCCCACCCCCATGTTGAAAAGAAAAGGAATAAATGTGACTTGCTTGCTTCTAAATTTACGTTGTCAAAGATTTGTAAAATCTGACACTGAATGGGGGTTTTGCTTTGGGGTTTTAGCAGGTGACTGGGCTGTCATTCCACAGCGCAGGAAAAAAGTTCCGCTATTTCATCTGAATCCCCATTTGTCTGCTTCATATAAATGAGATTAGTTCATGGAAAGTTCTTTTCAACTCTGATGGACAGACTTTTGAATAATATTTTTATTAATAATATAACAAAAACAAACCCATAAGCGTCTCCTCATGCTCACACCATCCAGTACCCCTGAGCAACAGAGGAGCCAAGTCTCCAGACTCCCGCCTGTGCTCCACTCAAGCCAAGTTGAGTCAACTTCAAGTTCTTGTTACAAGTTCACTATCTTCCGGAAAGACGCTCAGGGGTCCTAAGACCTGGTCACTACTCACCTGTAAAATAAGCCACTGGCAAGCATGGACAGCTGAGGCCCCACGATGGCAACCACTGATGGCGTGATCAGATTTGAAGCAGAGAACACTCCGTAAATTATCGCCATGCTGCATGCAAAGGGGGGAGACAAGATAAAACTCTTAAAGCACCACGGTCTCAAAGGTCATTTTTTCAAATCAACTCAGTGTACGGATTTTAGCATTTATCATCTTTGGTCAAAACTTAGTAGTTGCTCCTCAACCTGAATGCCTCGTTCAAGTTTTCACTTGTAAAAAATACTGACGTCTCGTTCAGCTAGCCTGCCTTGGTCAGAATGCTTTCAAAGTACTGATGATTTACAGAAACAACTAACATACGACATGCAAGCACTGGGAAGCAAGTACTTGCACACATATTTTTAGTCCCAACAGCTCTATGAAGAAGGGATCACTTTATCCTCATTTTACAAAAAATTGAAACACAGAGGGGTTAAGTAACTTGCCAAAAGTCCACCTGCACAGCTGGTGAATGGTGGAGGCAGGATTCCCCCCAACCCCAACGCCACCAGTAATTGACTCCTGAGCTCCTAGTCAACCAGTCTGCTCTACAAACTTAGCCTACAACTCCTGACAACTGCAGGACATATCCCTGCTATAAATGATAGCCACAGAGGTAGAACTTGTCCAAACCAGAATTTATTCAACTCAGCCTAATAGTCTCACTTGAACATTATTCAGTTACTACAGACCCAACCTTGGTACGTGTCTCTTATAGCAAAATGTGACTAAAAGCATTTCAAGGGTTCTGAATTCACTTACTAGCTGCTAATTATATAAATCCAAAGTAAATGAGTCTTGGGGTTTTATGACTCTCACACACTAAATGTTCCTTCATTTGCTCTTTAAAATACACATAAAGACAAAGCACTACAAAAAAGGTTGTAGTGTTATTAATCACTTAGGAACATGGACATTAACATCACTTTACTTGCAAAATCATATACAGTCAGTTTCAGGGTACATAAACTAAAGAACCTAGAAAGAATTAGGGAGAAGTGCGGGGTGTTGGCAATGATCTAATATCTTGCTACAAAAAAATTAAGAAACTTGCTTGTGAATATATACACACATACATTACCTTTCTATGTACTTAAGATCTTATCATTTCATTTTCTCCATATGTAAAACTGGGACTAAACAAGACCTTAACAAAAATCTAAGAGAACGTGATGACGATATAATAATCACTATGAAATGACAAACTTTTCAAGAACCACACAAAACATTCTGTGTTTAGGATTGGGAAAATGTAATTACGACATTATCTGCGTCTTTATTAAATGCTAGGCACCAGGCCAAGCATTTTACAAGCACTATCTAAGCAAGGAAACTGGGCTCACAGAAACCCAAGATAACCTGCCAATTAAACTGTAAAGCCAGGATTCCAAGGCTGGTGTCCAATTGTACATGAAATCTAAAACCCATCCGTCACCTTTATTGTATTAATATTTCCCAGAGAGAGAGAAGAAAAAAAAAAAAAAAAACAATCCCTCGAAGGAAGATCGCAAGATTGTATTGCCCGTGGTTTGGACGGTATTTAAGTAACTACTGCTTCATGTAAAACAAAACCAGCTGCGAAATACAATACCTGGTATATCCACTGCCGTGAAAATCTGTGCTGTTTAAGCTCCTGATGACAGTTTGCTGCGTGGAAGAGAAAACTAATCAACAAAAACGTTTCACCATCTCCCTCTCTCCTGGACAGCTTGTCTGCAAATACTTAGAATAAATTGAAAATTTACGATGCTGAACACCGAGTAGATTACGAGATTAAGGAAAGGACCACAGAAGGCAATGACGGGAATGTGGGGGACACCGGGAGAGGGGACCAGCTGTAACGCTGCCCTGGGGCTTTTTCCCCCTTAACGCTCCAAGTACTAACGCACAGCGTAACACAGACAAGAAACAAAACACACAGAACGACACCCAAACCCCAAATCAAATCAGAGGCACGTATGTAAACGCTGAGCACCCCGTGTATTAAGAAGGAATGTGTGACGCATGAAGTCAAACCTGATGATAAAAAACCCAAGGAAGAACAGGTAAGGAAACAGGAGGTGCAATTTAAGCCCGCTGTTTGGTATCATTAAGGTCTCGCTGCCATCTTCGGGGGCGTCCCGACAGGCGGCCTGAAGGAGGGAGGCCAGCTCCCCACTCACCTCCACATTTCCGCAAGTTTGAAAGGCGGTGAACATGAACATGAAGGCAACTCCTAAAATAATGATGTTGTAGAGCTTTTTAGATTCCGGGGACATGGTGGCTCCGGCCTGCCGGAGGTCAGCAGCAGCCCCGGGCGCTCGGCGGTCCGCGGGGCGCGCCCGCCACAGGCCTGGGGGAGACGAGGCGAGGGGCGGCGGCCCGGCCGGGGTCAGCTTCCAGGTCTGGATCAGAGCCCCGGGTTTCGGGGGCGCGTCCCCCACGGCCACAGTCAGGGCGCTCCCCGGCTACCAGCCGAGCGGGGAGGAGCCCGACACCCGGAGACGCGCCCAGGGAGCGGCTGCCCCAGGTTGGGGGGCCCGCGCGGGGGACAGGGGCCAAGGGCGAGCCGCTGCAGCAGCGGGCGCGCCCCGCCCGCGCCGACTCACCGCGGGTCAGGCGGCGGGTCAGGCGGCGGGTCAGCTGACCGCGGCCCCGGCCGCCGGGCCCGCCGGGAAATGTAGTTCCGGGCGGCCCGGGCCGCGCAGGCGCGCCGGGGGATGCGCGTGCCCCGAGGAGCGCGGGGCCGCAGCGGCGGGTCCCGCCAGGGGCGCTGGGAGGAGGGCAGCGAGGGGGGGGGCTGGCGGGGACGGAGGCGGGTCTGGAGGGGCAGCGCCTCGGCCGGAGGCGGGACTGAAGCGCGAGCAGAAAAGCCGCGTGGAGCCCGCATATTGGCAAGGGGAAGGAGGCGGGGCTCGGGGGGGAGCGCCTCCTCTTCCTCCCGCCCGGGCGTGCGCGCTCGCTGCCCCGCCGGAAGGAGCCTTTCGCGGGCTTTCCAACTGCCCTCAGATTCCGCTCCCCCGCCCGGCAACCGTGACTCCGCGCTTTTCGGCCCGCCCGCCGGGCTCTGCGCAAGCGCGCCGCACTGGGGCGGGGCCCGCGGCCGCGACGTCATGGGAAGGGGCGGGCCGAGCCAATCAGAGGATTCATTTCCGGGTGGCGCGGGCGCCATTTTGCGAGGAGGGCTATAAGTAGGCGCCGGGGCCGCCCGCCCGCCCAGTCGCTTCTCTGGTGGGGCCGGTCGTGCGTCGCTGCCGCCCGCCTCCTCCGCCCGGCCTTCCCGAGACGCCTCCACGCGGGAGCCAACTGCCACTGAGGCGGCGCGGCGTCGAGCCGAGCCAGCCTGAGGCGGCCGCCGCCGCTTCCCCCGCCGAGCGCGCGGCCCTCCCCGGGCGTTAGTCAGCCGGCGCGCCGCCGCGGGCCTCGGGCCGACCGTCCAGGGCCATGAGCTACGGCCGCCCGCCCCCCGACGTGGAGGGCATGACCTCCCTCAAGGTGGACAACCTGACCTACCGCACCTCGCCCGACACGCTGCGGCGCGTGTTCGAGAAGTACGGGCGCGTCGGCGACGTGTACATCCCGCGGGACCGCTACACCAAGGAGTCCCGCGGCTTCGCCTTCGTGCGCTTCCACGACAAGCGCGACGCGGAGGACGCCATGGACGCCATGGACGGCGCCGTGCTGGACGGCCGCGAGCTGCGCGTGCAGATGGCGCGCTACGGCCGCCCGCCCGACTCGCACCACAGCCGCCGGGGCCCGCCGCCCCGCAGGTACGGGGGTGGCGGCTACGGGCGCCGGAGCCGCAGGTAAGGGGGCGCCCGCGGGCGGGGCACGTGGGCCGGGAGGGCCGCGGCGGCGCGCCGGGAAATGGCGGCCGGCGCCGAGATAATGGCGGCGGGGCGGGCGGCGGGGCCGCGGGCGGGGCCGGCCCGCACCCTGACGCGCGCGCCCCGCCCGCAGCCCGAGGCGCCGCCGCCGCAGCCGCTCGCGGAGCCGCAGCCGCTCCCGCTCCCGCAGCCGCTCCCGCTACAGCCGCTCCAAGTCCCGCTCCCGCACGCGCTCGAGGTCGCGCTCCACGTCCAAGTCCCGGTCGGCGCGCAGGTCCAAGTCCAAGTCCTCGTCCGTGTCCAGATCCCGCTCGCGCTCCCGCTCGCGGTCGCGGTCCCGGAGCCCGCCGCCCGTGTCCAAGAGGGAGTCCAAGTCGCGCTCGCGCTCCAAGAGCCCCCCCAAGTCTCCGGAAGAGGAAGGAGCCGTGTCCTCGTGAGCGAATGGTAATGTCGGCCGGGCCGGGGCGCCCGGCCCAGCGCGGGGTGCGGCGCGGAGCGAGGCGCCGCGTGACGGGCGGCCCCGCGCGGGGGACGAGGGTCTGGTCTGCAGAGGATGCGTGTGCGCTGACATGAGGTGGCTGTCGGGAGCGTTTGAGACCTGTGAATGCAAATGACTATTTCTTGCTGTTTTTATCCAACGTCTGCATTTTCCCCTTTAAAGCTGCGGTCTCCTGTTTGATAAAAGAATATTGGCCAGTTTTGCAGATTTTAACTGATTTGGCTGATCCTCCAGGGACCAGTTTCTGTGGGCGTGTATTGGAGCAGGTTTGTCTTTAAACGTTAAAGATGCACTATCCTCTTAGAGAGACGCTCAGTTCAACTATTGTTGTTCTGGCGGGGACTTCACACTCTAGTGGATGTGGCAAGCGATTTGCAGTAAGAAGCAATGACCTTTTGGAACCCCCAAAAGTTGAACAGGTATTGCGCTGGGTGGGGAAAGGATAGTGTGTCTTTAACTCTCAAATTGTTTGGTCCTATTTTTTAAAAGGAAAGGGCCCTAAGTAGCTCAGATATTAAATAAAGCATTATTTTCCATCGCCAGATGTTTCATTTGAGAACTAAAATCGTATCTTAATACCTAGACTAATTTTCTGGTTTCAAGTTTTTGTTTGGATACAGCCCTTTTTCTTTTTTCTTTTTTTTTACCCCCCTCCCCTTACCTTTTTTCACCTTGGTTTTTTGGCCGAGGTTACAGAAACAGATTTGTAAATGCTGACGATAGCCTTTGTGAACTTTAAAAAAAAAAAAAAACATTGGGCCTTTAAAAACTATGGCTGGTGGAACCTTTCTGTAACCTACCGTTTCACCACAGCCTTTAGTAAGTACGTGCCTGCCATTGAAACCATGTGCACATTTACTGACTCGACACTGATGGAAGGTAAACTGAACTTATTTCTTTTCAAACCTAGATGTACCGACGAGCACCATAATGGAAGACTTGGGGGCCGAGGATCACATACTCAGTCCATCCAAGAGTCCTTGGAACAAGCAACTGGCTATTGAAAAGGTTATTTTGTAACATTTTGTCTAACTTTTTACTTGTTTTAAGCTTTGCCTCAGATGGCAAACTTCCATTTTATGTGCCATTTTGTTGCTGTTATTCAAATTTCTTGTAATTTAGTGAGGTGAACGACTTCAGATTTCATTATTGACTTGGATATTTGAGGTAAAATTTCCTTTTTGTTTATATAGTGCTGACTTTTTTTGTTTGAAATTGAACAGATTGGTAACCTCTAATTTGTGGCCTCCTGACTTTTAAGGAAACCCTGTGCAGCCATTAC